AAACCTCTAACATTGTTGGAGTAATCTAAACCCAGAAGTCAGTTAAAGTTTTTAACATATTTGACCCCTGTGATCAGAACAGTAGCGAAGGTCATTCATTTGAACAAACTTGGTAGCCCTACACCCGAGCATGTTATTTGCCAAATATCATCATTGTGAGCCTTTTGCTTATTCAGGAGAAGTTTTTTAAAAGTTTTTAAGACAATTGGTTCCCTTGACCTTGAATATCGGTCAAGATCTGTTGGGCCAGGTGAGCTAATATTTATATAATAAATTAGTAAAACCATCGCAAAGGTTATTGAAATGCCATTTAACAGCAGAAATAGACTTTGTTTAGTTTGACATATATTATATTAAAAGTACATGGAGTCCTCGACATGCTGATAATCAATGTAACCTGCGATGCAGTCTCAAATTTGTTCTATTTAAGGAATATGCCAATTCATTAATTCATGCTAAAAATGATTCAATCAGTCTTGGGCCACCATGCAACACATCTTTTCAGATGAATAAATGTTAAACATCACTATTTTATATCCATCAAATGTTTTATTCATTAATAAAAAATAACATCATCTATGTGAGCAGCTATTTCTTTGTGAGAACCAAATAGAGTTAATGATTTCTTGCCGTCTCCAATCACAACAACATCAGGTACCCTAACATCCATAGCTCACTCTCTACACTGTCTCACTCTTCCTTACTCCAGGAAAAAGGCACTTTTATTATCATAAATAATTAATCAAGTTAATAACAAATTGTCGATTCTAAGAAAACCAGGAAACATGATACACTTAAAATGAAATGGAGACATATATTTCACATTCAGAATTGATTTTCTGAAAAGAAGATGCCGAGTTTAAGATGTAAATCTGGGCTTCTTTTCTGGAAACCTGAAGTGTCTGAATCAGTGCAGTTCCATGATATGGCAATGAAAACCAGAAGCTCACTTAAATAATCACTATTTTAATGTTGCCTTTCATTTTTACACTTTCTAGCACTCCATGCCAACAAGTTATAGGCCAGATACCATTATCCTAATTCTCTTCGTTAAGAGAATGTCATTATCCTAATTCTCTTCATAAGAGAATGTCATTTGAGTATTTTTATAAACCAGACCCTTATGGCCTTAAACATATTTCAGTCATTACTTTTTCACAAAACTTGTACATTGTAGCTCTCCTTATACATGAGATCTTTATGACATTAACCCTTTCACCACTGTAGATCATAATGGACTCAACCAGATCAATGCATGGTAAAGTTTCCCAAGTTACATAGGGGTCAAAGGGTTAAACATATTTCAGTCATTACTTTTTCACAAAACTTGTACATTGTAGGTCTCCTTATAAATGAGACCTTTATGATATTAACCCTTTCACCACTGTAGATCATATTGGACTCAACCAGATCAATGCATGGTAAAGTTTACTAAAGTTACATAGGGGTCAAAGGGTTAAACATATTTCAGTCATTACTTTTTCACAAAACTTGTATATTGTAGCTCTTTATTTCAGAAAGCTACAGGCCAAACATCATGACTATAAAGCTTAAGTTATTTAGAGGAAATAAATTTGACCCTTGCAACCTTTAAGAAAGGTCAAGTTTATACATGTTCTCAATCTTTGATTCCATCTGGTATACCACCATGATTCTTTCGTTTTCCAGAAGAAATCATTGGAATGTATTCAAAAATTTGAACCCAGCCATCTTGAATATGTGATGACATGATATATTTTTCAATCAAAGTGCCCAGGGAACTGGGTGATTGGTAGCATAATAGTGGTTCTCTTTTTCATTTTTGCTGTGAATTTTATCCTTAATAGGCAGACATCACAATGTAGTTCATATGCATGAATATGTAGTTGATTTTATAGATTGACAACATTTTAGAAATCAGTCATGCATTCATTCAGTCTAATTGGTGAAGGTCATAAGATTAGGATTGTGCCAAATGTGTCGATCCTGATCTAGCAATGTCATTTCACCACCTTTGTTTCTCTTCTGGGCCTAACAATTACCAGCCCCTTACCTTTCAAAAACCAGATTCCCTACTTCCTACAAAATTTGTTGGAAATTTGTTCAATGGTTATTTATAAAGAAGTGAATTAAAGAAAAAGTTTACGGATGACTGACGACAAACATATTACAATAGCTCACACCAGGGCCTGGTGAGTTACAAATTAGCATTACTAGAAATACTAGTCAGTTTCAAAGTTCATTTTGCATGTTTGTAAATTGTGATTGTAATTTACTAATTATCAAAACACATGAAATTTTGTTCACAAAACATTGGCATTTAAATGGACTGACAGATATAGACACTGAAGGAAGCTTAAAATGACTTCAGTTACTGAAGTCTGGTATACATGTAGGTCTACAGGTAGCATACTAAACACCACAATGTAATCAACCAATGAAACTCATTAAAGATTTGGTTATCAAACAGCACTAAAATCAACATTTTATATATTGCAACAAATTTGGCTTAGATATAGAAAAACATTCAAACTATGGAACTTTGGTCAAGTAATAACATGATCTGTGTAGTGCATGCTGTCAAAACTTTTATCTTTTATCAATAAAGAACATAAGTACAAAACCCAGATTGTTTTGTTTTAGTATATATTAATGTATATATTAATGCTTTAGTATATATTAATGGTTAACGTGTTATTAAAATCATTTCTTATGTAAGTTGGACCATCTTTAACCTCTGAAATGGAATTCTCATAAAAAATGTACATAAAAATTGAAACTACATTTGACATGCTGCTAAGGAAGCCATTTCCATAGTCCACCTACTGTTGCTTCAAAATTGAGGGAGATGATAATTAGGTTTACATTACATGTTTTAAATTGGCACGGAGAATAATGAGAAAATAAAACCTTCAATCAATATCTTCGATTGTAGAAAAAGACACAATATGGTTACGAGTGCCGGAGAAACTCCCAGCACATTAAATAAATTGGTACTATAACCATTCCAATAAACTTTATCACTTATATGTCTACTTTATATTGAACATACAAAAAAACTGAGGTGATTTACGTGAACACAAGCTCCTAACAATTACGTCACATACCACAAACGTCACACGATATCACCAGGATGCTGTTAACATAACAACAATTTGGATTAATTTTGGTATGGATAGCCCTATTTACTCAAATGAAATGTAAATCAAATTAGCGTAAACATATACATATTTCATAAAATTATTAAGAGACTATGATATATCACTGAAAATTTAACACTTCATTGAGAGAACATGGAAGGCACAAGGAATACATAAAAAAAATATTTGCATATATACATATTGCACTTACCTAGAAGACATATTTATCCAATCATTCAAAGATTGCCTCCTGTTTGTGTTCAGGATTTCTCTGTCAACCCCCCCC